GTTTGAATATCATACTGGTAGTAGTTAGGAACAGGGTCTTGAAATAGTTTTGTAGCTCTTCCTTTGGCTACTCTAGTGCACTCCTGATCATCAATAAATTAAAATCGACAGCATGAGAACCATGCTATTTTTCCTGAAATTTTATATAAAACCTTTAGGAAAGTACTTAGAGCAATCTTTCTATATATAATTCAACGCATGTTCATCTGCTCTATCCAACTGTAAAAATTGCAGATCTCTATCTCGTTCCTATCAAAAGTTATTCAAAAATGCCCACAGCCATTTAACTCTGAAATGGACACTAGTTACAAATCAAAAATCGGACACTGAAGTTATAGAAGATACAAGAACACAGTAACAATGACATCAATCATTGAATGTTTAGCATATACAGGGTGGGTAAAAATGCTTTTCCAGGGGGTAATACAATAATTTCAAATAGCGTGCATAGCTAATTTTATACCAAATTAAAGCGCGTCGAAAATGGAGTTTTTTCATCCTAAACTGTAAGAGTTATCAAAACTTTTTGATGTTGAACTTAAGAAATTTTAGATTTTTTTTGGGATAGAAAACTAAGACGTCAGTGATTCAAAAATGGATTTTAGTATTTTCGTTTGTTATTTTTACATGGTTCGATAGAGCTTGTCGAGCTCTACAAAACTGTATATATTAAAATTTTTTTAAGTTAGTTTTCTAAGATAAAAAAAATCAAAAAACCACTTGGAAAATGTTAAAAAATGTTAAAAAACTCATTTTGTTTCATTTGAGAGGAAAATACCCGATTTTTCAATAAAAACAGATTTTTTTCATTACTTTCACTAACAGAGACGTTTCAAAATGTGACCACCAGATACAGCGTGAACAACTGCGTCTATTGATTACATTTTGAAACGTCTCTGTTAGTGAAAATAATGAAAATAAATGTGGAAACCTCGGATTTAAATCCGAGAGTTATGTGTACTTCAAAAAGTGAATGAGACAGATGAGTCACCCTAGAATGTGTGGACATCAAAATTGTCCTGGCAAACCCTTCCTGTAAACATTTAATTTCTATTGGCTATTGCTCAGCCAATACGATTTCGAGGCAAATACAGCTCAGATTTGAACTCTTCACCTTGATTTACCCTAAGAAACTCGTTTTTCCTATAACTTGATTTCTATTGGTTACTGCTCAACCAATTGGATTTCGAGGCGAATGGAACATAGATTCGAGTTCTCCATTCTAGAAAACCTCGAACTATCATCTCTGTGATGCGAAGATAGAGCTCTAATTGTGGATCACATAGAGCGTGGACAAAAACAGAACCGAATTCCGATTAATTATCTTTACAATAGGCGAGCTAGCTTTCTTGTTTCTTTATGTTTTATATACCATTTTGTAGCTCGTGAAATTCTCTATCGAATGGTATATAATAGTTGGGGTTTTATATGACTATGATAGGAAAAGTTTTTTATGAAAGCAGAGAAGGGTCTATCTTCTCATAGGGAAAAATGACTATTTTTGCAATAACTCAGCAATGGTTCGGCCAACCATTCTCATCTTCGAACTCGACCGAGATATTGTTAAGACTAAACTGTGTAGAAAATTTCATCGCGATCGGACTCTCCTTTCAAAAGTTATCGTGTTAACGGCCGGACGGACACACTGACCGATTCTAGAGTGTACTCACTTTTTGAGTACACAAAAATCTATTTTTATTGAAAAACCGGGTATTTTCCTCTCAAATGAAACAAAATGACTTCTTTAACATTTTTTAGCATTTTCCAAGTGGTTTTTTGATTTCTTTTTACCTTAGAAAACTAGCTAAAAAAAATTTTTTAATATATACAGTTTTGTAGAGCTCGACAAGCTCTATCGAACCATGTAAAAATATCAAACGAAAATACTAAAATCCATTTTTGAATTACTGACGTCTTAGTTTTCTATCCCAAAAAAAATCTAAAATTTCTTAAGTTCGACATCAAAAAGTTTTGATAACTCTTACAATTTTGGATGAAAAAACTCCATTTTCGACGCGCTTTTATTTGATATAAAATTAGTTATGTATGCTGTTTGAAATTACAGTGTTATCCCCTGGAAAAACATTTTTACGCACGCTGTATAATCTTCATTGTTATTATTGATTGTTGGTTTTGAAGATGTTTCAATAGATTGACTTGATAATATATTATATTTTTTTTCAAGTGTATTTTCATTTTCTTATTGTTTATTATCATCTAAATCGATTATATGTTTTTATTTGAAATGTTGCTATTTGTATAGGTTGTAATTGTTCCCTCTTCAATAAATAATGGATATAATATCATATTTGATGTTGAACTATTTAATTCCGATCGACTTAATGATAGTATTGTTTCATTAGGAATATTTTGATATTTAATTATCAATATTTTCTCGTTGAGCATTCGTTGATGAACAAAATACATTCTGTAGAAATAGAATCATTACAAAACTAATAAATATAATTGTTGAGCTATCTATGTGATGATAGATCAATTCTCATTTATCAATGAACAATATCTATCGTGTTTTACATTTGAATACTATTGGGATTTTACTAAAAGCTTTTCTTTTTTACATTAGAATTATTTAGTATTTTTATATTGATATTAGACTAGAATTATTTGTAATACTAAGATATATAAAAATCATACCGAAACTACTATTGTGACTTAATGCATTCATTCACGAGAGAATTTCTTATACTGTCAATGGATTATTGAACTGAAACTATGATCAATGAGTGAATCATTTAGACCAGATTTCTGTATGAATTTAGCTTAGGAGTAAAGGTAAGATCAGAGTGAATAACTATGATAAGAAAGACAAAAAAAGGACGACTAAAAACAATTAGCACAATCTCTGAGGGATTAAAATGTGAAATACGATGTAGCTGTTGCGTCTAGCCACAGGACGATTGTTTTATTCTATATAGCTTGAGACATATTTCTTCACCCTTCAGAAATACAATAAGAAATCTCTGGCTAGTGTCTGTCACGGTCTATGAAGGAAGGGTAGGATGACAATATTTAAAATCAATCTTTTTGATCTTCAATATCATGAAGATTTTTTGGTATATATGTGATACTATTTCATAAACAACACTTCTTCCTTTATATGTTTTTTTTTTATAAATAACACAAACAAAAATATTTTATTAATAATAATGAATAAATTTTTAAAAATACGTCTTAAAATTTGTTTTTTTTTTCTAAAATGTTTTAATTTCGTAATGATATGTTCTCTTGTCTTTTATATAGTATAGACTGATACGGATAGGTCATATATATTAATTATTATAATGCTCTAGTAGTCCTCTATCTATACTGTAAATGTTAGGCTTTTATTGTTTGGTATATGTGTATGCATAACTTCAAGTATAGTCATTTTCACATACAATCACAAGTTTGATTTTTTTCATTTGTACATTCAATATTTGTTTAACATATTTATGATATGGTACGTATACAGGATACCATGCACTAACATATTCCAGGATAAATTTTTATATTATGCTTCCTTGCTTGTATTATGACAAATAGAGTTCACTTGTTAGTATAGAGACCATAGCCACTATACCAACAAGTGAACTCTATACACACATACAAAACTATAAAAGCCTAAGAGATACAGTATAGATAGAGGACTACTAGAGCATTATAATGATAAATATATGGTCCATTCATATCAGTCTATACTATATAAAAAAACAAGAGAACACATCATCATGAAATTGAAAAATTTAAAAAAAACAATCAAATTTTAAGACGTACTTTTAATTGTTCAGACTATAGTAAAAAAAAAGTTCTAACCACATTCAAACTAAAAAGAATAAATTTGCCAGCATTTGCATGATCACTTTTTTTTCCACACACGTTTAATTTTCGACTAGTTCGTGAGACATGAATGATCTATTTCGTTATGATGAAGTTTATATATGTGTATTTACAATTCGTAATGAATATTTTTATGTATAAATTGCCAAAATAAGAGAATAAATTGTTTCGATTGCTATCAATTCAAAAATCGACTTCAAGTATTTTTATTTCTTATCAAAAGAATATTTTTCTTATTTACTTCTAGTTATGCTTGGAGAACAAAAAATGGTCTTATCAATGTTTGTGGTTATAAAGATGGAATTCTTATTCATGTAAATTTTATTGACAAATATCAATCAGAAACTAAGAAGCGATATCTACAGAGAAATGAATTATGAGATAGACATTTAGACGTAACCAAACTAAAAAACTATTCTTATTTATGTCTTATTGCGTATTCTTATCGACAAAATGCATTTTCACGGACCTGATAAGAAAATTTAGTTTTGATCAGATTCGAAAATAAGCCGGATTCCACACATATTAACAACATCTTCATAAATATATCTAGCATGTTTTAGTCGCACAAGAGTAATGATTTTTCTATTATTGATGAAAACAAATTTTTATCAGATTTGATAACTTACAGATCGATTTTCTTCGGAGAAAAATCTTGTATAGATAAATGATTAATTTTGACAATAAAACTTAAAAGAGAAATTGTTGGATTGTGTTCAATGTCTAATAATGGTTTATATCTTTTTTGACAAGAATATTGAAAATAGTGAATATTGGTAAAATAGATCTAAACAAAATCTGCTATGAATATTTATGGAAATATATTTTCTTAATCGACTCGAATCGGCTCGTCCTAATTCTTCGTCTATTGTTTTATTTGATATATTTCCGTGTTTATCAACATGTACTTCATTTGATTACAAAGCATTTCTCATTATTTATTATTGATTTTAAAAATAAATAATTTGTTAAAAGTGAATTCTGTATGTTTATAAATGATGACGGAATGATTATTTATCTGTTAAATATATCAAGTAATCAAATAAAAATTTATTGGTAACAAAATAAAATTTATCAAAATATGTGCTTGATTTAGCATCAATAATTTCTTTTTTATTTCTTTTGAAAAAAAAAGCTTTTGACAACACATGAATGCATCAAAATTATTTTTTCATAGTATGAATAATGAACATAATTGATGTAATTGAGCTAAGAACCTAGGAAAAAATATTCAATTATTTTAGCGTAGCTAACAGATTAAACTTACTAAAACCGATAGTACGACTTTTTCTAATCGAACTATGTGGCCATCAAGTTTGTTCAAGGATGTATTTAATTGTGTAATGCTGCCTGTTAATGTACGTAGTTCGTCACGTACCGATCCAGTTGAATGACTACTATTTGGTGAAATTGATGCGTTTGAACTTGTTCCTTGAGCAGCTTCTGTGGAAACATTATCCTCAACTAATAGAGGAGCTACTGCTTCAACTCCTCCATCTGCTGCATATTCTCCATTAGCTTCAACTTCACCTACAACTCCAAATTCATCTGACATTTTTTGATGAGATATTAACAGAATACCAAGTATTAATTCACTTTAGAAACAGGAAGAAAAGACGAGAAAACAGAAAGTAAATATATTGGTTAAAACAGACGACCAACAACAATAGTTCAACGGCAAAAAAAAAAAAGGAAAGAATAATAATGAAATATATAGATGGCTTCTATAGATGACAGTGGTGCGCGATTAAAGAAAAAGATAAATAATAGCTTATAGTTAAAACATACTATTGCCATGTATAGAAGGCATTTGTGTATTTTGTCACTCTTTTCTTTTAGTTTTTGATCTACTGACTGATGCTTCGAATGCGCTTATCGTTTAGTGATTATTTCTAAATAAACTGTGTGATGATTTTTTTCCGTTTGAGCCATATATTAAGATTTATATATACAAGTGTTTGTAAAAAAAAAGCTTGCATAATTTTTTTTATTATCTTAGAGTCTTTTTCCTGTGACTCGAAGTAACTATAAGCGTCATTTTTTTTAGGGCTGACTCTTCAGTAGTTATACTAGATGATGGCCATAGAGAACTTCCGTTTTTCTTATCTTTAACACATATGTCCCAGGCAAAATTAAACTTAGGCAAAATTAGTTTTAGTAGACGCGAAACAGTGAAATTTTTTTATTGATTGTTGATCTAACTATCAATAGAAAAAAAAACTATTCGTTTACATAAACTTTAAATAAAAAAGCAGAACATTCATTTTCATGTATTTAATCGTATCATAAGTACAGTGATGACTTCTCATTCAACATCAGAAGTTGAATCTCGAAAACAATTTTATGAACAAGCAAGTAAACATCTTAAATCTTTAAATAGCAGATTTCGAGAAAAGATAGTAATCATGCAACTCATGAATGAAAAGATTATTCTAAGTCGCCTTACGAATAAGTGTTCAACAGTTTTCGATTCACGTTTTACATCTTGATGTTGGATTTCTTTTGTTGTACAAAATACTGACTTGAAAATTTTACTATGTGATACAAAAATTGATTAACCGATATTAGTATATGAAGCAATGAAAGATGTTTAGAAACGTACTCATGTTGAAACCGTACCTTCTCGAAAGAGATACTTTTTCAAATAATATACAGTTTCGTAATGATTAAGTAACTGATTGTTTTATAACAACTTTTCGCTTATATCAGCACTTCATGTAACTAGCTATTGAAAATCTATGGCGATTTAAACGTTATCATAGCTGTCTAAAAGAGCTATTTGGAAAAAAATGCATACAACTATTCTATGATTTTAATGCCTAATTCACTTGTAACAAAATTTCGTATTGGACTTCTTTTTGTAACCGGTAATTAAAAGTCTACCGCTATATAAAAATCATCGTACCTAAAGTGGTGGACATAAATTAAAGACATTTTTATTTTTGCTATAACTCAGTCGTCTTTATAGGTAGAGACCTGCTTCTTTCAGTATTAGATAGATCTTGTGAAGTACTATGTTACCTGAAAAACTTGCCAAGATTAGGCCTGTTTTAGTTGAGTTATAGGGTAAAGAATTTTTCCCTAGAGGACATAATTTTAAGATATTTTTGAGTATTTCGCATTTTCTGACCAAGCGGTTTTACTAAAATCGATTGAAACATATACCATTCGATGCCGAATTTTATGCTCTATATCTTGAAAAGAAAAAAAGAAATTTTAATACACTATCAATCCATAGTTTTTAAATTTAATATTTGTTAGTCTCAGAGATTAATGGCATTTGAAAATGAAGAATGCAGATAATCGGAAATAATCTCAACAACAACTAGTGCTTCGAAAAGAGCGTCAAAAGCTGAACAAAACTATGTAATTTTCATGCAAAAAATCCTGTGTTAGAAAGTGAATTTTGAAGGATTTTTCCCTTTTGATGATTCATCGATACTCAAATTAAAATTTTTTTCCAGTGAAAAAAAATAAATTTGAAATTGTTGGTCCAATCACTTTTCTAGAGAATTGAATTCTCTACAAAATGAGACATTCCGCACTTCTCTATGATTCCTATAAAAATTGTTATGGCCAAAATACTTTTAGTACACAAAAGTAAGCAAAATATGACGAATACAATGGATGGCGCCTTTTGCTGATCTATTTATCCAAATTTACTTTTTTGTACTAGAAGTATTTTGGCCATAACAATTTTTATAGGCATCATAGAGAAGTGTGGAAGGTATCATTTTGTAGAGAATTCAATTCTCTAGAAAAGTGATTGGACCAACAATTTCAAATTTATTTTTTTTCACTGGAAAAAAATTTAAATTCGACTATCGATGAATCATCATAAGGAAAAATCCTTCAAAATGCACTTTCTAACACAGGATTCTTTGCATGAAAATTAAACAGTTTTGTTCAGTTTTTGACGCTCTTTTCGAAGCACTAGTTGTTGTTGAGATTATTTCCGATTATCTGCATTCTTCATTTTCAAATGCCATTAATCTCTGAGACTAACAAATATTAAATTTAAAAACTATGGATTGATAGTGTATTAAAATTTCTTTTTTTCTTTTCAAGATATAGAGCATAAAATTCGGCATCGAATGGTATATGTTTCAATCGATTTTAGTAAAACCGCTTGGTCAGAAAATGCGAAATACTAGAAATGTCTTAAAATTATGTCCGCTGGGGAAAATTGTTTTCGCTATAACTCAACTAAAACAGGCCTAATCTTGGCAAGTTTTTCAGGTAACATAGTACTTCACAAGATCTATCTAATACTGAAAGAAGCAGGTCTCTACCTATAAAGACGACTGAGTTATAGCAAAAATAAAAATGTCTTTAATTTATGTCCGCCATTTTAAGTTTATAATTTATATAAATTTATCTTTTGCTTTTTTTTGCTGCTTCGACAGAGGTGTGCCGTCGAATTTATTAATTTATAATTTATAGAAAATTTATCTTTTGCTTTTTTTTGCTGCTTGAGTGGGAGTGTGTGATATCAAAAAATGTTTCTTTTGTTTTCTTTTGCTATTTCAACATGGAAGTCGGTTTTTTTCATTTATTTTCGAATTCAAATTAGGCATCTACTCAAAAAAACTCACAACAAATATCTGAGAAATGCTTTTCAAAGATATATTCATACGCTTTCGTTTATATGCTTTTATTAGGGAATTTTTAGTTTCTCAATATTAGGAGTTGATTGAGAAACCTTTGAGAATTCGAAATAATTATCCAACAACATATTTTCATCTTGGTAGAGACAATTCATAATAAAGCTCAATGGGAATCAAAAAAATCGTTAACGAAAGTTTTAATCCTTGTAACTAGAGGTGTAAGCCGCGCGACTGAGCCGCCACCGCCGCCGCCGATTAACGCAAAAAATTTTAAGCCGCCGCCACCGTGACAGTCGAAATTTTAAAAATTTATAAGCCGCCGCCGCTGAGATACTTTAGTTTCAGCCGCCGCGCCGCCAAGAACATTTAGAACTTTCAAATTTTCGAGCCGTCGCCGCCGACACCGTTCATAAATATCGACAATTTTTTATCATTTTTCCTTAATTTTATATAGATTAAAAGTTCTAAGTAATCGTGTCACTTGTCTATGTTTATTATATTATATATAAGTAGAGACCAGTATTATAGAAGCGTACAGACCCTTCATTATAGAAGCGCTAAAAATGATTCAATCTGCAAATATTGTAGAACGAAGAATTCTTTATAAAATGTTATGCCGAACTAAAATGTGCCCTTTACGCATATAAAAATATAACTGCTTTTGCAAGAACTACATCTGTCAGAATCGAATTCTGATGAAAAAATCGAGTTTTCAAAAATACAACTGAACAATAATGTAACCATTTTGTCAGAAAAAATTAACTCAAATGTCATATTTTATAGAACAAACTTTGCTCTACAAGCTGACATGTGAACAAAAGATTCAGCATTTAGTTTTGAATATCAATAACAAGCATACGAAAATGCGCGAAGAAATTTTCTGTCCAAACTTTTTTCAGACCTTTTAAAGATCTCCTCGCTGCTTTCGAGCGCAAATAGGTTCACAAATTGGACCGATATTTGGAAAGAGCACAAAACTCCGATCCTTATCATGAGTTGTTTACTCGACCTAAATACCTTTAGAAGAGTCAAAAAGGAACAAATATGTTGTTCAAAAACTTTTCCATAAACTGTTATAGTAGTTTTTCTAAACATCAAGCCGCCGCCGCCGAACAACGAAGGACTTTAAGCCGCCGCCGCCGTCGGCAGTAAGAAAAAAACGATTTTCAAGCCGCCGCCGCCGTGCAGCCTCAGTAATTAAAATCTGCGCCGCCGAGCTTTTAAAAAAAATTTTTTTTTAATGCCACCGCCGCCGATCAGCTCATCGGCTTACACCTCTACTTGTAACTTCCTTCGTATCGGGAACTGAAAACGATGAATAAAGACTGCAAAAAAAAAATTTGACAAACAGTTAACACTTCAATCTCATCTTCATCTGAGTCTTCATATCGTTGATGATGATGATGATTACCAATATATAGTATTTGTTGATTTTTTTTTATTACATTGCTTTTCGATTTGTTGATATTGAATTGATTAATTGAAAACTAAGTAACTGAATAATAATATCTTCAAACAAAATATTCACGAACATAGATTATACTTTCTTTAACTTTTATTATAAAACAAAAAAAACGATTGAAGGAATAAAAATATAAAAGAATTATTGTTATACAATTACAAAACAAAATCAATCATTTTTAATGTTAAATATTTTCATAAATGAACATCAGAATAACTTGGAATGAAGCAGAAGCTTGAAGCATATGACAAAATAACATATTTTTCTTCCAGTATAAGTAGAAATTCATGAATTTTTGTCTCATTTCTGCTTTATATTATTCGTATTTGTTTAAGTTATCAATGTTATTCTTATAATAAAGTAATTGACAAAAAAATTCAAAAAACAATGATGATTTAGATTGGACTTGTCGATTATTGTTGCATATCTATGTGACTTCTTCTCACAGCACATAGCATCTATACTGAGATTGACATGAACAGATAT